ACGAAGAAGAAACGGAGAGAAGAGCGAAGAAGCCTTGGCCATCGAAACGGGACCCCGAGGGAAAAGTCCTTGCCCGACGGCGCCATCACCCAAGCCAGCTGTCACTTACCACCGCAATAACCCCTCATATTCACACGGCGTCGACGGACTGACAGGGGACTGTCAGGATTTAAGTTGGAGGGAGATGACGAGCTCGGGGTCGCTTTGACTGTGTAACCAGACTGGCGCTGATTGATATAACAGCGGTCACATCACAAGCTGTGCTTCATGCAGCTTACCACGTCATTCCACGTGCCATTCAGCATCAGTGGCGATGCTCCCATCATCCATCATAAGCTGTGCTTCATGCAGCTTACCACGTCATTCCACGTGCCGATGCTCCCATCACCCATCAATACTCAATATTCGGTCTCTCATAACGATCCACAATCCCGGTTTCAAACACTCGTCAAACGCGGCGCTACGATGCAAGACCGCCACAGAAATGGTCCCCAGACTAGGACTGAATTCCTGGAAGGGCCCAGGCAGTTCCAGAGGGACGAGACCGGTCCAGGATTTCTCTCAGAATACAGATTCCCCAGTTTCACATTCCGTTATATTATAGGTCTCATGTTCCTTTTATTTCTTCTAGCTAACCAAAATTGGACTCTATTCATCTACCTACAGTATAAATACACATGTAACAGTCCATAAAAGGCAGGTTGATTCTACCCCACTTCTCACAGAGTCTTCAGGAGCTTTCACCTCCAAGATTTGTCTTTTATTCACCCCTACGTCGTCGTTTCACTCCCGTCGTCACTTATTTTCATCCCAAGCCGCCGCTATCCCTCTGCAAATTTACCCATCGAGTCTGACTCAGCCCGACCAAAACCCCTCGAATTCACCGCTATCTCTACGGCCACAGTCCCAGGCAATCAGAAGCTCATCGACGGTATCTACGCCGTCCCTCCCACCTTGTTCTGAGCCTAGGAGCGCCGTAGGCGCGTCAACATTATCATTCGAGGCGCCCGTGAATGCCTGTGACTTTCACAGGGCTCAGGTTGGGGCAAGAATCATGCTGACATCAGTCTACAATGAATGGGGTGAGAAGCCCCAAACTCGAATCTCTCCGACTCTGGCACATGGATTCCGTCAGGCAACGAGGTAACTGGGGCTTATTTCTACGCTGACTCAGGATTTATCTACATTGCTTCCGTCTCAAAGTCACGTAGATTTCACGCCACATAGAGGGGTTCGCACACGGCGGACCGTCGATGAACTTGAGCGACGAGGTCCAGTTGCTGTACCAGACTTCAAAGGCGTAGCACGCAACGGATGCGAGCAGGGCGGCCACAGTCGGGACAATGATGCTCGCGATCATGGCCCTAAGTAGACACCATGAGGTGGCTCAGCACAAGAGGAGCCCATATTCGTTGACTCCGCATAACATGTTACAGGCAGTGGCAAGCCGCTCGAGCGTCAAATCACTGCTTACACCACGGGCGCCGAGAAGAGTTCGGCAGGGCAACGTCGTCAGAGTGAATGACTTAAGCAGCTGACTTCTGAGAGAGAATACAGAGAGCCCAGAAGCGTGCCGTGGAATAACCGTCGACAATGAATCAGCGATTGCGATATTGGAGAGGCAGCCAGTCTGATGCGGTTCGGCTCATTGAGGAAGTCAGGCCGTCAGCATCCACCGATGTGTTCACAGGGTGTGTACTATGTTGTATGCGAATAACACGCGATCGGTGTTTGGTCATGTGGGCACGATGGCCGCGAGGACGCATGGCATCATTCGCGTCCCCGATGCAGATCTTCTCATCCTCATGCCAGGTGGGAATTTCATCGCATGGATTACCCAGCGAGTCGGCGATGCAACCCTTGAGAAGGGAGTACGACCCCATCAGACACACACGGGCGATTTTATTCAGAGACGCAGAAACGGAAAAAAGCACTCCAAGGTGAGCTTCTGTCGCTTCATCACAGCGATGTCAGCAAGCAGCTCATACCGGGCCTGTGGGGTTCTGCAGAAACCGTCAGAGTTCTAGTAAAGGCCATTGCGACTGACCAACAATATGATGCTAGACGGACCGCAAGAACAGAACCCGGGTATCCATCCCATTCGCTTAAAAAGCAAGACAAGTTGTCCCACGGGATCCAATTTTTTTCTCTCTCTCATCCACTCCTCCGCTACTCGCACGGTTATTTCGACTCTCATCAATGTCAGAAACGCCGTACACCATCGCCGTATCGGACGATGCCCTGGCCTCGCTTCACCAGAAACTCAAAGCGACGAGATTGCCGGACGAGCTGGACGAGGCCGCGTGGGACTACGGTGTGCCTTTGGCGGACATCAAGCGGCTCGTCGCCCGGTGGCGCGACGGGTACGACTGGCGGAAGCACGAAGCTGCTCTCAATGCGGAACTGCCTCAGTTCACGCGCGATATCGCGGTGGACGGACACGGGACGCTCAACATCCACTACATTCATCAGAAGAGTGAAGTACAGGACGCGATCCCGCTGTTGTTCGTACACGGATGTACGTTGCCTTTGTGATCGCGACACTCGGTGCGTTGAGTGAACTGACTGTGGTTTCTTACTGCTCAGGGCCAGGCAGCTTCTTGGAGGCAAAGAAGATCGTGCCGTTGCTCGTCGCGCGTTCGAGTGAACATCCGAGTTTCCACGTTGTTGCGATCAGTCTAGCTGGTTACGGGTTCTCTGAAGCCCCTAGAAAGAAGGGATTCGCAATCGCGCAGCAGGCTGAGGTTCGTATCAGCAGCAGTAACATATCTCTGCGACTCTCACAAGGCGTAGGTTGGCCACAAAATCATGCTGGCGTTGGGCTACAATGAATACGGTGAGTGGACCTGAGTTCACGCGTCTTCGACACTGACACACCACGATTCAGTTACGCAAGGAGGCGACTGGGGCTACTTCGTACGCTGACCCCTGACCCATCTCCAGTGTTTCCGTCTCACACTTTGGCAGATTACGCGCCGCATCGCCAAGCGCTATGGCCACCAGCACAACAAAGCCTGGCACACCAACTTCCCCTTGTGCGTGGTCCATGGATCTAGACGCCGCTCTTTGATCTTATTCAACCTAGGGGCCGTCCCCCTTCGCTTTACTATGAGCCGCTCTCATGGTTGGCTTCGTGCCTGAGAGGGTTGACAAAGGAAGAAAAGGCCACGCTCGCGGAGGCAAATTCGTACAGGGGCATTGGACTAGGCTATTTCGCCGAACAAGCAACGCGGCCCCAAACCGTGGGCTACGCGCTGGCTGATTCACCCGTCGGACTGCTTGCTTGGATCTACGAGAAGCTGGTGGATTGGACAGACAAATACCCCTGGAATGACGACGAAGGTGTGTGACTCTCCGCGCTTCGTTGGCTGTTGATCATTTATGACGACAGTCCTGACCTGGATATCGATCTACTGGTTCTCCCGCGCCGGGCCCACCGCGGCCGGCCGCCTCTACTACGAGTTTTCGGAAGGCCGGTCAGACGGGACAATGGACGTCTATGGACCCGCAGAGTACCCGACCATCCCGATGGGCATGTCTCATTTTCCCGGGGAAAGGGCATATGTCCCAATCAGGTATGTGTGTTCCATCGTCCCCTAAACGTGCTCTCATCCTCGGCATCTCTCTCATAGCTGGACCCATGCCACTGGAAACATCGTGCACAGGAACAAGCACGAGCGGGGAGGCCATTTCCCTGCATATGAAGCTCCGGATTTGCTCGTCGAGGATTTACGTGAGATGTACAAAAAGGGCGGCCCGGTATTTGGCGTTGTCAAAGGACACAGCGGCTATGACTCAGAGAAGCAGCATCAGTCGAGCAAGAGTGTAGTCGATCAGTGATATTTCAGAATGAACACTGGTAACAGTATAACATGGTCCTTGACCTGTCGTCTTTGCAGGATGTACCGGAGGCCGCCAACCGGTGGCGAGAGCGATACGGACCGACATTCATAGCCAAAGGGCTCTTCAGCATGAGGAGCGCATCAATCACAATCGCTCTCTGGAGCTGAAGCTGTCAGCCTTTCCAGGCGAACGGTCGCCACACCACAGCTCGGAAGGCCGTAGCCCAAATCCTGTCCAACGGCGCAATTCACCCGGGGTACAATGCCGTGCTGTTCACTCTGAGGTCGATCCTGGGAGATGGGATTCTTGCGGTCGAGCGAGATCCAGACAACAGTCAGGCAAGTGTATCTCTCCGTCATTTTTTCCGATTCCACGAAAACGTTGCGGTCGTCGGCAACGAGAATTGTGCATGAGTAGATCATAGATGATTTCTGGCTTTTCGTTTCTTGACATTATATCATCTGAAACTGCTCGCCGGATGCACCGCTTTCAATTCTTCGACTCAAATACTACTAGGGAAAAACTAGTACGAGCCAGTCAAGCAATCGACTACTTACATGTATTACCAATAAGAAACGGGAAAGTATGGACCAACTATGTTGACCCTTGCAGGTAGTGGTGGATGCCCGTTGAGCTCATACAAGTGGCGCTGATTTGCGTAGGAAAAGGGATAGCCCGACACACCGCCAGATGTTTAAAAAAATGAGCCATAAAGATAGATTTTTATTTTAAATATTGTAACACAAAAACAGAGCCACAATCAGCAACTCTTTATCTTAAGAAAAATGGTCATTGATCGGATTCCGGTTACATTAGTTATTGTGTCCCAAAAAGGGGGTCAGTATTGATGAGATATAATATCCCAAAATGTCGGGCACTTTTTGAGACATGTTTGGTCGAATATAAGGGTCCAATTTTTATTGACAGATGGTGGCACACGATTTGGGGCTCAATATCCTCCAAATAAAGTCAAAGATAAGCGTTTATGATATCTGAGATATCGCGATCCGAAAAAAGTCCGCCCCGATATCTCCGAAATCACGTCCCATTTCATCTATCCACGGATGATCAGTTGCTCATCGGTTACTGGTCCGTTGCTGATCGGTTCAAGACATCAAGTGAATCGATATAGGAATAATAAATTACATTCTCTATGACTAACTAGTGGCTAGATCAAGGACAACGCATCGACCATCAGAGAAATTGAAACGCGCATAGTGAGATATAACATTGTGAAGGGGGATCAAGTCTACTGTATCGCTCATTGAAGAAGAATACGTGCGTGCAGGGAAGTACGGCCAATAGCGAGCGAATGGATCATGGATACCAGGAGCCAATGGTGCTTGTCGTCGAATCCTGAACGTGACATCTTCACCACGCATAGAGATCACTTCAATGCTCCCAGCAATGGCGTGTCTCGAGTTGTGGGGATAGTAGAGAACAAGGCTGTTTCCTAAGTGTGTTTTGGCACGAGAGAAGTTGATGCCGTTTCGTTTGTAATGCGCACGTTCACCATCGTTGGCGAGGGGAGCAGAGTCCAAAGGCGTATTGTAAGATGGGAAGGTTTTCTCGAAGAGGGCTTTCAGCTCATGGAAGACTGGTGGACAGTCATCTCGACGCAACCAGCGACGGATGCTTGCTCCGCGCAGGAAGGATCGTGATAACGTGGCTTCAAGTTCTCCACCGATATGATTATTGGTATTGATCCTCTGAAGAAGCCCGATTACACCTTCAAATGGAAAGGACCACCAGGAAATGACGGGACCAAAGAGTAAGAGGAAGTCGTACAAGTGGAATGCCATATGAACGTTTGGTCGCAAGGGATGGGATCGGGTGTGCGGATGATTTTCGTAGAGAGTGTCGACCCAATGCTTCAGAAAAGCCCGATATTTGGTTGCGCGCGAGCGTGTCATAGTGTACCGACAGACGAGAATGACTGCACTGAACAATGCCATCGTATGGTCGAGCATTTGTATCAGACGTGTGTGTTGCGGGTCTGGAGGTGATTGTGAGTCCAGAGGATTGTCACCCCAAAGGAGAACGAGGGCAATGGGAAGGTAGATAGTCGAGAGGATACGCCACTCGGCTGCCTTGATGGTGCCCGCATTGCTATCACCGTAATTGGACGGAACAGAATCTACCCAGGCTGGCGTCGTGGTCTTTCCAATCACACGCTGGATGAAATGGATATTGGCCAGATTGATGGCGCGTGGTACATATGTGCTATTGGTGAGGGGCTGAGTACAACGCTGAGTCACTGTCAGTTACTGTAAAGGCCTGGGATGTAAAGAAACTCACCCAAGCCAGTAGCTGTTCACAACACAGCTTCTTGGATGAGATACGAGCTGGTTCCGTGTTGAGACCGAGAGAATGAACTACCCAGCGAAGGGGCTGGAGATTGAGCCTCATTAGTTGCTCACGCATCTCCTCTTCAGTGACCGCAGGAACAAATCGCGGATCAGAAGTGTCGTCCATGTCCACATCTTCATCTTGTTCCGCCTCATCGCTGTCCTCGCCGGCGTCTTCCACAAGTAACGGCTGCACAAGCCGTTGCTGAATGGTACGGATCATCGGTAGTTCTTTCGCTTCTTTCTTCAATACACACAGTGGATGACAGATTGTAGCGTCGTAGTCCGGCCAGTTGTGTTCGAATGCGGCGCCCATGGTTTCTTTGCGTTTGGCAACTTTAGTATCGATTCGGAGTACTCTACGACAGTGGTAATGAACCAGTCCCTCCAAGATGCAGTGCATGGAGTCGACAACTGCCATGCGAGTCGGATCCCAGTAAGGAAGTCTCCAGAATTCAGACCAGCGCACACCGTACTCCGAAAAGATTGCGTCTCGGGCAGATTGCGTCGGTGCGTCTCGCCATGCATGAGATTGAGCACGGAGGACGGAGATATTGCGGCGCGTCCACGTGGAAAAGTCCGTGTCGTACATACAGTGGATCCCGAAACGATCGCACATGGAACAGAAGTGATTCGAGTTGGCGGCCGCCATACCTTGAGCCTTCCGAGTAGCAGGTAGGTCGTTGACATTGATGACCATCGCGATATCCACATCACGACCGGTGGCGTGAAGCGCTGTGCGGGAAAGACGAAAGCCTCGCTCCCAGCCAATGACAAACTGGTCAATGAGTGGACGAAGGTAGTTGTCGATTTGATCGTGATTAGGCTCGTTGGGACCAAGGATAATGCTAAGCCACATATTCTCAGGGCGATAACGAATATCCTCGGAGAGATTGAGGTTGACGACGGCAAGGATCCCGATGGAGTCGTGATTACCGCGTTTGCGCGTTCCATTGGGGTTTAGGAAGTCCAGCATGGCCTGGAATGCGAGACGGAGACGACCCTCCCGTTGTATGAAGAGCTTGCCAGGTACAGGTCCTGGAAAACTTCGAAGGAATGCGGCTTCGAAAACGTTGTTCACTTGTTCTTCTGCTAGAGGTCCGTCTGGATTTTTGGACATGGCTGTGCGCACCGCAGCAAGGGCATCGTCGCATGCTTTCTCGCACATTCGCTCCAGTTCAGGATCAGATAGAGTGGCAGCAATGTAGTCGACAAACGAGCTGAAGACAAACGGTTTGATTGGACGCATCTTCCCATGCCCCAGTGCCAGAATGGAAGTCCCACAGACATGGCGGGTTCCTCGCTGGGGATAAATGTATCCTTGGCAATGCTCCGGATAAAAAGCTTCCGCACTGAGACGGTCCTTCTTCGCTGCGTGTGTGTGATGGCAACTTGGGCACATCGCATAAACAATCGTCGCAGGGTCAATCTTGAACCTGCGGAGAGCAGTCTCGAGGGAGGTGGGCAGTTCGTTCAGAACGTGCTCCTGGGTCGCATTCGCTTGACCGCTACGCGAGGAGAGTGACATGGTCGCTCGAACGATGGTATTCACAAATGTGATGATGAGATTGACTGGGTCATTGCTGATTCCTACGACGACGTGGCAGATAAGGGCCAGGAGGATGGAGAGTTGGGCCACAACACTGAATTTAGCGATAGGATTGTCAAAATGATGCGCTAAAGTCCAAACGTAAGCTGCTGAGCGAGAAGAATGAAAAGGCGAACTTACCAGTGTCGTACTCCACTTTGCTCGTATCTGGAGGAAGAAGACAACCTATGACATCGACGAGAGAGTCGAGAGCCATCGCCTCGTCCTGCACTTGTTTCGCCAAAACATCCGTGTTCGCATGCGATGCACGAGCATGCCTCTTCGAGTTGCGAGGGTTTTGGTCTCCAGCTGAATTGACGCTAGAGAGGAGACGGCCTGCCTCAATGACGACAGAGCTCGCGGTGTTGACAGCAATCGTCAAGGCACCGACCGTTTGGGCATCCGAATCGAGAGCCCTCTGGATACCGAGTTCATTGCTGGATGCACGAATTCGCGAGAGCATATCCTGCAGGAGTTTCGAATTGACTTTCTGGGTGTCGACGACTGTCGGTCGCAGAGGAGACGATTGGCCCTGCAGAATTGCTTGCACGCCGACGAGAGCCTCACTGGGTGGGATCGGCGTGAACGCGGTCGGCACTTCAGGTACATCGGTTTGATATTCATCCCGAGAGCTGAAGAGCTTGGAGTGCGTTTGACGATGGGGATGAGCACCGTCGTCCAGCAAGACAAGCCCAGTGAAGAGGCTGGCTAGCCTTTGCAGTTCCATGTCGACAGGATCCTGTGGGGCGTCTGACTGAGCTTCGGGAATGGATAGTCCGCTGATCTCCTCGCTCAATTCATTGTCAAGCACAGGCGATGGAGGTTGATGGCGATCTGCCGATGGCACGGTCGCCGGAGATGACTGCTCTAGTGAACGCACAATGGCGGCCTGATGCGCCAGGCGTTGCAGTTTCGGGAAGCGGTGATTCCGACCATTAGCCAGCGGGCAACGCTCGCAAATGTACTCCGACGATGGTGGCATTCGTCGACGGCAGACGTCTGGCAAAGACACGAATACGGGGCAGATTCAACGGGAAGGGATAAGACGAGCGTTGCGAGACACTAACAATAAGCTCTATAAGTCCTGGAAAGCAACGAAGAAAGCATCTATCGACGGCAAACGTCTGATAGATGCATAAAGAGAAAGGCTGGTATCTCGAATGGTGTCGACGACAAACGTCTGACACCCCTGGAAAGAAACGAGGAAGAAAGCATCTATCGACGGCAAACGTCTGATAGATGCATAAAGAGAAAGGCTAGCACTGTTCTGCCGAATGGTGTCGACGACAAACGTCTGACACCATCGTGGTTTCTTCCAAGTGGCACCACTCACATGACTTGATCTCTCGGTGATCACCATGATGGAACGATGGATGATCGCCATCATCTTGGATCAAAGATTGATCCCACGTGACAACTCTTCACTCTTCCTCCTCCAACTCATCTCGGACGTTTGCCGTCGAGATGAGTTGGAGTTCTTGAATGGTGCCCAGTGCCTTTTCATCTCGAACGTCTGACGTTGAGATGGATGGTATGGGCCAGAACTTACACCGTCGCCCGTCGCCCATTCGTCCACGTTCCCTGTTTCTGAGTCAAACGCCCTCATCTTGGACGTTTGCCGTTGAGACGAGTTGGAGTTCTCAATGGCGCCCCGTGCCTTCTCATCTCAAACGTCTGTCGTTGAGATGGATGGTATTGGTGCACTGTCGCCCGTCCGTCGCCCGTCGCCCGTCGCCTGTTGTCTGTTGCCTGCCGCCTTGCGCCTGTTGCCTGTTGCCTTGCGCCTGTTGCCTTTTGCCCGTCGCCTTTCGCCCGTCGCCCTCCGCCCGTCGCCCATTCGTCCCCGTTCCCTGTTTCTGCGTCGAACGCTCTCAAGCTCACAGCGATTGGATTCAGTATATTGGCGGATCTCTTCTCAAACGTTTGCCGTTGAGAAGAGTTTCATTACAGCCCTACTTGATATACGTTCTCAAATCTCCGAATACTTTCTCCAACCCGAACGCCATCGCAGCCAGAATGACGATGGTCCACAAGATCCACTTCACAAGACTTCCAATCTTCACCCCGAAGTTGTCGTTGGCGAGTGTTTTGCGGTAAACATTGTGTCGGTGGGCAAGGAAGGGTGATCGGTGGCTGTGTTGATCGGATCTATAGATAGGCCGATTGTTCCGTAGTTGGCATCGCATCGTTGTTCTCCGCCGCCATCGCACTCGCTTATCACAGCATCGCCACCCCCGATCCCTTAGCCCGCGGCTGTCCCATCGTGGTGATTGGAGTGTGATTCGCGCCCACCCACGGATTGTGGCGGTTGTACCTCGATCACCCAGTAAAAAGTTTTATAGCCCTCTGCCTACGTCGCTCCTGTCGCCCACGTCGCTTTTGCTGCCCACGTCTATTGTGCCCACGTCACCTCTTGTCCCACGATACCGTTCTCTACGCGTTCCCACGGCCTGCTGGGAGCCATTGACCTCGCGTCGTACCCACCGACCCGACGCCAGCCCAGGCAACGCCAACGCAGCGCCTCGGAGCCATCCCCGTTCTACACCACATCACCATTGACAGAACCGAGCGCGACCCCAAGCCCGATTGCACCACGAGCCGCATTCACGCTGCCCCAATTGATCACCCCACCAGTGTCCACCACTTCCCAACGTCCACCACCCCCGGCCCGACCTCCGCCCTTGATTCCGACGCAAACCATGCCCACTGTCGACATTACCCCGTTTTCCGGCCGCCGGGATGGTACCGATATGCCGACCGCTGACTGGGTGCGGGCAGTGCGGCAGGCGGTTGTTGACCGCCACTATGCAACGACTGAGGACCAGATACGAGCTGTCAACTACCACCTGAAACCGGACAGCCCTGCGGAAGACCACATGGTAGGTTTGGCACCAACAGCGCCAGAACGCGCGTCCCTCGACACGTACTTGGACGAACTCAAAGCAAAGTTTCCTGGGCTCAAACCAATACGGCGCACTGCAGCATCGTACGAGGCAGAGCTCCTAAAAACGCGGATCACGGTAGCGGAGCTGGCCATGGAAACGGTGAAGAGAGGGGAGATCGAGGTTTACGTGCAGGAGGACTTCGCCAATCAAGTCGAGGACCTGGCCATCCAGGCGAAGGTCAAGGACACGCTCGCGGGGTACCCGTTGTGGAAAGAGAATCAGCCGGGCATCATCATCAAAGCCCTCACGCCGGACCCCACCAACTGGTCGGACGTGGCAGCGAGGATCCGGGCGATTACTAATGCCGACATCCACGAGCTTGCAGTAGGACACCGAAACGCCGAGAACACGCTGCGAGAGCAACAACTCCTCAAGGCCAACATCAACGACCTCAGGCGTAGTTTCAGCGCCTTCCGCCTATCGCCCACGTCTCACGTAGCCCCGAACCCTGCAATGGTACACCCTCGCCCCACGGTTATCCGGCCACAGAACCCCAGCCAGCCAGACCGCCCCCGCCAAGCCCAATTCGAGAAGGACTATGTTCCGTCAGCGGAAGAGGTCACGCACATCCAGGCAGCTCGCGAAAAGGTTATATCACTTGCGCAACCTGATACTCCACAAGGCCGGGTCACGTACAACCAACAGAAGGCCGCATGGGCGTCCCAGCACGATGCTGCGCGCGCCAACGGGAGCCAGCGCCTTTGGGAAACTGGGTACCCGCTTGCCCCTGGGACTCAAGCGCCGTGCAGCCGGGAGTGCTGGAAATGTGGACAACCCCGGCACGGAAACACGGAGTGCACCGCACCGTTCGTTCCAGGAGAAGAGAGACGCTTCAGATACCTCTGCCATACCTGGCTTGGCCAGACACGCATGGCCCCAGCCCCGGTGCCAGTTAACATGGCGGACTGGACGTTGATTGGAGCTCCCACAGAGGACGACCTCCGGGATTTTCAGGCCGGGCTGACACAGTAGGCGATGTGTCCGCCCATAACTCCGGTCATTTGGACGGACCGGAGAGTTCCCACCGTACTGTCGAAACAAATGTATTGTCTCATCTTGAACTCGAAACTGTTGACATGTACGCTGCGGACGAGCCTGAGAATCCACACCCCCTATTCAAACACGAAGTATCTCTCAAAGGACCAAAGGGCAAACGCGTGCGAGGCATCGCACTTTTTGACGGAGCGGCAGGAGCTGGAGTGCTGGATAGCACATGGTTTGCGGCGAGGAAACACCGGCTAGGCAAGATCTTGGCACCACGGAAACGGCTGAGGATGGCGAATGGTGCCGTGATACCATCGTCAGCACATTGGGAAGGGCCCATCGACGTCGGCGGAGTCGTGATAAGAGCGGAGTTCGAGGTGATTGACTCGGGTGGCGCATGGAACATCCTACTAGGGAAACCGCTGCTCCGGGCTCTGCGAGCAGTCCAGGACTTCAGGAACAACACCGTCTTAGTCGCGGATGAGCTGCAGGAACAGCTGTTACACAATACGGTGGGCGGCAAACGTCCAGTTCCAAAAGTATCGCGAGGGGGATGGCGAGAGCCGAGGCGAGAGGCCTCTGTGGGGGACGTGTTGTCCGCAACCTCCCCCCCGAGGCGAGTACAAACCAATGCCTCGATCATACAAGACAAGACTGATGTCGTTGCGAGTAACCGGACCAGACAAAGAATAGGCGATGACGGAGATGCCAATGACAGGATACAAGATGGGGAGAAGGACAGAAGAGGGGGAAAAGAGCCTACGGCGTCGCGTGTGAACACAACGGGGGATGTATTGTCCGCAATCTCCCCCGCGAGGCGAGTACTGCTTGACGTCCTCCCCCGATGGTGGGTTACTAACTACCCCACTTACGGTGACACCAAGGGCCGCCGGAGGAACGAGCACGCCAAGGAAGACCAGAGAAACGTACACGTGTCCGAGGCGCATGTGGCCTTCAAGGGGGTTGAGTCGTGCGCGATCACCCCCGCGAGGCGAGTCCAGATGACCCCTGCTTCCGAGACCAATACTGACGTGTTCGCGATGGAAACGCACACGGACCGCGGGAGCCTTTTCACACGCCTCACAGAGCCGTTCAAGGCCGAGCGCGTCCAGCGAATCGTCGCCCTCGTAGAACTCGGCCCGGACATATCGGCGGAGGAGAGAGAGACTGTGAGGGCACTGGTTGCAGAATACGCGGACATCTTCGCACTCGCAGTCAGCGAAGTGAAGGTGGTGCCAGGGCGGAAGTACTTGCCTAGGATCCCCGACGGACACGACTTTGGGACTAAAACCGTCAACCAGCAACCAATGTCACTGCCGCAGCTGGCGTTCCTCACGAAGCAGGTCGATGAGTTGGTTGCCGCTGGCATCCTTCGTCGCATCGACGCTAAGGATGTGAGGTGTGTCAGCCCAATCACAATGGCACCGAAGGACCAACCGGAGGGGATCTGCATGGCCGAGCTACTCCACCAGTTGAACAACCAGTGTGTCGCGGCAGGATTACCGGGGCTGCGAGACATCCCCGCCCGACCAGACCAGTCGCACGCCACCCAGCCGAAGAAGCCAGTTCGCTGGCGGGTTTGCCATAACTTTGCCGAGATCAACAGGGTGTGCAAGGTCGTCCCGTTTCCGCAAGGTGACATCCGAGACAAACAGCGCCGATTGGCTGGTCACCGCTATGTTTCGACATTCGACTTCGCGTCGTTCCTGCCGCTCACTTCGCTGGACTTGGCTGCGAAGATAGTTGGGACGCCGAGCACATCCGATGCCTGAAACGTTCAGCATTGAAAGCCGGTATGCGGTAGACCAGTGCTTACTGCAACGGTCTGTACCCACTCGTTCTCCTCGATGACGAGCTTCGTGAGCGAGCCGTCCCGGCGTGTGTAAACGTACACCACACCGTGGTCGCTGCCAACGACAATCGCCCGATTCGAATCATGTAGAGCCACTTGTTGTAGGCGCCGGGTCTTTGTCACTGGAACTTTGAAGCGCTTGACAAGCTCGCCACCGCCATTGAGGCGATATAGAAGAACGCCGGTGGAGGGATCGCTTACACAGAAGATGCCGTTCGCCAAGTCGACCGCGACATCAGATCTGTCGCCTCTTTAGAACCGGAGAAACGAATGCAATAACCGCGTACATGCGACAACCCAATCTCAATGCGTCATCCTCGGAGCACAGAGTGCGACCGCGAATGTTGTATCTCCACAAATGGTGAGTTCTCTGCTGTTGTTCCGAATGAAAAAGCTCACATTACTCCACAGTAAAGTCCAGAAACCAACAGCTCGCGTTCATTATTGTGCATTGCCCCAAAGCCTAAAGCGCCAGGAACGCAACAGGGGATCTGCAAGGAAAACATCTCTTTCTCGGCCATCTTCGCTCCCAACATAAACATCTGCACGATGCCGCCATGATGGCACGCCGCCAGACGATTAGTGGCCGGATCGAAAGCAAGACCAGTCACTTCAGACGATCCAGCCATCTGGCGATTCCAGATCTCGTGAACTCGAACGCTGGACTTTCCCTGGAGTGTCTGAGAAGGCAAGGAGATAAAGAAAGGACTAGACATACGGTGTCTTCCAGAAGGCAGCATACAATGTATCCGCTCTGTGTGCCGTAAACCAGCGCCTCGCCCATGTCGTCCTCGCGCTTGATCCATTGCAACTTTGTTATCGCACCACGTACATCGGAAGTCACAACCACGACGTCAATCTCGCGCTCCTCTTGCAAATCCCACACCTTGAGACCGATGCCACCTAGAAACCTTCATTTGTGCCACTCAACGCGGCGGAAGCTGTAGGCCTTACCACCACTGGCTAAGAATCTGCCGTCTTCGCGAGCCTTGAGAGTATAGATAGCGCCGGTATGACTGGACAGCTGGCACTGGAGATGATAGTCTGACATGTCCGTCATGGTGTTGCGCACCAAGTGTAATCGAGTCTGAAGCTTCAAACGCCATCCGTTAAATGGCTTTCCCGCCCAGACAATGACGCCATCTGATTCGCCGTCTGCTTTGCACAAAGCAAGACAATCCTACCTAGTGTCTTTGTTCGGTATGATGCATATACCTACCAAGTGTCTTTGTTCGGTATGATGCAAATACGATTGCCACGCTGTGACGTATATAGACCTTCAGTTCCGTGCCAAGCACTCTGCATGGATCTTCCTTTCCGCGCGAAATGGGCTCTGCCCCCTCCACCTGTTGTGCTCCTACTCGGACAGACGGACATATCGGCGCCAACTTTCCCCACCCCCCTCATGCATGAAGACCTGGATTTGGGTCCTCCGCTTGCATTCACGGACAAGGCCATCAGCAAAGCGCCCAAGGTGGTGGACAAGAAGGCCAAGACTGTTACTTTCGACTCGTCCCCGAAACCCTCCGCTTGGGTTTACCCTCCGAGTGCGAACTCTGATTCGGATAGTGGATCGGATACGACGGCATCGATCTCGTTCATGATTCCTCTGGGTGGTCCCTCTCACGTCCGGGACTCAGACTTTCCGCTCTTGACTGGTTGGACGCAGGCTTTCATCGACCAGTTCCAGGTGCGCTCGGCCATGAGATGCTTTATTTTTGTTTACAACTCATTTTGTTCCCAAGACTGATGTCGAAAGTCTCGCTCAACGCAAGTTTCATCCCAAGCTTTCCTTGAAAGACCAGGATCCAAAGATCAAGGCCCAAGTCGTGGCGGAGGTAAGTTGATGCCCCAGCGGGACTGTGTCTAACCCTGCCCAGATTCTCAAGAAGTACCCCATTGTCGACAAGTTCATTGACCACTGGCCTCTTGAGAAGGTTCTTATCAGAATTTGCAAGAACTCGGCGGCGAAATGGAGAAGGTAGCTGCCCCAAAGACGGATCCAAATACGTAATGAATATATATGCACCACCATGTACATGGCCAGTAGAGATAAATATTTACGTCCAGAATCCCTTCCATTACACCTAAAGCTCTGCGTAGCCATAATTCTGTAAAATGTAATTAGAAAGATTCACCTTACAACAAAACCACTGCTGATCGCGCCCGCGACGTGGATCGTTGACGCCACGTGATTGCGTCGACCGCTCACACTTACAGCCAGACACAACAATTTTCATTGCACTGATACATAATACAAAGCAGTTTCAAGGTAGAAAAAGAATCATTATCTAACAAAAAACAATTGTAAGACAAAGCATCCCGATAGAACACAAAGCGTATGAACTACAAAGCGGCAAACTGTATAAATTGGTCTGGCGTCAGTCCCGCACTTGCTCACATTCCCCCTCCTCACCCCCACCCCCCGATTCCACGCGTTTGCCGCGGGAACAGCGATGTCAGACCACGACCACGATGTGGAGATGGGTCACCATCACAGTGCTACGTCGCCCTCTGCTCAGGCACTGCCATTCTTAAGTTGATCGAGCAATGATTGACGATTTATAGCGCATTCGAGTCTCCCATGATCAGGTTGTCTCCAGTAAACGCTCAGCGATGGCTGGTCCGGGGCAAGAGAGACTGGACGATGTGAGTGGCACATTTGAGCTCAGAAGTGATACTGATCTCTCGAAGGCACGTCGAAACGAAGACTTTCACAAGCAAGCAGCCGCGCACGCGAGGCAAGACCGTCGATTTGTAAATCAAGAGAACGAAACTCTCCGGCGTCAGCTCGCGACCTTTCAAAACAACTTTCGAGCCAGTGAAGAGGAGCGCCACCGTTTACAACAGTTCATCTTGGAGAGTCAGCGCAAGATTGCAGAGTTGGAGCGTGGTGAAGCGGATTTACATGGCCAGATCATGGATGATCAAGACCAACTGCAAAAATTGGTATGTCTGTCATGATCGCATTTGACGGGTGAATTATTGAGTCTGTACTACAGGCGGGAGAGGCAGCCGATGCTAGGCAAGTCCACGACAACGATGTCCGCGCCCTTCACAATCAGATTCACGCTCGAGAAGAGGAAGTGGAGCAACTTCGACAAACGATCAGGAGGAATGCGCGTTCGAAAGTGAGCAACAGTCCGACAGCAAAACGGCGTGGACGTGTCAGCACGGAGCTATTCAATCCCGGACGCCCCGCTTTGATTCAGCTCCCACTCGATCCTGCACCCGTTCCCGCTAGTGCTGGACCATCGCGGCCAACTGTAGACTTGGCTATCGCGGATGTTGCGAAATCGTTGGACGTCGATGCTGATGTGCTCTCCAAGTTAATGGGAGTAATGGAACTGGTGAATAATGGACGTGCCCGTGTGATGATTGGTTCGACAAACGGTGGAGGGAAACAGAGTAAGCGCAAAGCGCAGGAGAAAGCGGCCGTTGCTCCCCAAACAGGTGATCTAGTGAAAAAGGCACATGTAAGTTGCGATTCGCTATGACTGGGAAAAGATACTAACTGGTGTCAGGCCATGATGCGCCAGGTGACCTATCAAAGATTCGGCTGCGAGCAGGCCACAGACTTCATCTTCCACACGCCTGCAACGGAGGAAGAAGTGGAAGCTTTCGCCAACGATGACCAAGCCTGCATCCGCAAATGGCAGTTTGACTTCAGCGAGGGATATACCAGCTCCGCTTGGAATATGGCAGTGTTGGAGCGACTTGTTGCAGAAGCTGAGAAGGAAGATAACGACGGCATGGGCTACGTCCGAAAGGGTCTCATTCAGCGCGAGTTCCTCGCGTACATCGCTGCTGAGCAACTCGCCCGATACCGCGGCAATTGGAAGCAGTTCCAACCGAAGTGGGACCCGAGTAAGGATCGTATGGAGACCAGGGCTGAAGCGATTGCCCGTGGCCAAGTCATCTTGTTCCAGCGTCGGATGTCGTCCAAGACGATAAATGCTCAACACGATGTATGTGCTTCCTTTCGGAAACGATTCTTCGTCTGATCCAATCCACTAGAAATACAACCATTGTCACAACACCGTTCAGTCGACGATCACCCTGAAGGAAGAGGATGGTGCAAACAATCTTGCGACTTGGAAGAGGATGTTGGATCTCTTGGTGTTGCTTGGTGCGAATGGAATGTCTGAGGAGGAGGAGACACCCGCAACCCACATGGGATCCAAGATTCGGACGTATAAGATTCTGCTGTGTTGGTGGCGGGAGCCCGTCATTGCGGATTACATGCGCATGGTGGACGTCCAAACGGCGCACTTCCAGACACTTCAAACTGGTGCAAAGCCCGCTCCTCGCGTTCGCGGACAGACGTACGGATCCAGAGCTGTCCCGAAAGGACTCCCGGAGAGTTTGTATAACAAAGACTGGCTCAAATCACTCTCCCCAAAGGAACTCAAGGAAGTGAAGGTGTCAAAGCAAGTATTCACGTTGTTTGTGGCGGCAACTGAGCGCATGGGATTTTAGAGTATATGTAGATATCGTAGTAGAGGTCAATCGCATCGCAATGAACAATCTCGATGCCCTGAGCGAATGGACCTCTATCAACGTCATACGTCTGATAGAAGTGAAGCAAGCGTCGACGATACCGGTGACAGACACCTGATAGCGAGCGAAGCCATGGAAGACCCTGAGAAGAGTCGGTTTGACAATGGTATAGTTCCGGTGGCAGACACCTGGAACCATGAGTACATCGTCGTTCGAGACAAGGGTGATCGTACACGTGAGGAGCACAATCACGTGCTTTGATCTTTGATCTCATCCTTTGCGACGCGTTCAGACTCAATCGAGTCTTAGCTCTCAAAGCACACATTCAAGGGCTCGATTACAGATTCACAAGTCTGAACACATTTCACTTGAGTTGTCACTATCTAATATGCACGTATACAAACGATATCTGAGTAAAAGCAAAGTACATAATCTCATCAGTCTGTCGATCCGCCAACGATACGGCGCACAGCATGAACTTCTTTCTCTTTAGCCTTAGTTCTCCCCTCTTTGATGCGCTCGAGCCCACTATGAATGCTCTTGATGTGTACATGAGCAGGGATCCTCGAACCTGTCAATCCAGGTGCAGCGACTCTTTCTCGAAGATTTTCGATATCGTCACTCATTTGGGTGAGGGTTTGGAGTGCAGAGATAACGTGGACCAACGCTTGTTTGCGGTAGTTCCCAAGACCCTCCAAAAGCTTCAAATGATTCTGGTATCCACGCAGCTGTTTGCGGTTTCCGCCTAGCACAGTCCACAGATTGGACAATAGCTTGGTTTTGGCGGCAGAGAAGAAGATATCTTTGCGTGTGACGATCTCGTGGAGAACGGACAATTGTTCTTCGAGCTTGTTCAAGTTGTGCAGGTTGATCTCGAATTCCACAACGAGCCTTTGGAGAGTAAACGATAGATAGTTCATCGAGTCTTCAAATGTGTTGAGTATAACGTCCGCTTTTGGTCGATTCCATGGAATTAGCCTATTCCACAGTGCGAGGGCAAAGTTCTCTTCCGCGGCTTCAATGGCATGTAGAGCGTAATCATTGACTGCCATGATCCTGGGTAGTATATCAGCGAGTGCTAAGACGGAATCTGAGTTGACTTACCCATCCACTGCACCGGAGACTTTTGCGTTGAGTTTGTTCAAGGAGCGTCCAGTGAGTCGCGCGTCGTCGACAAAGGTGCGGAGAGCATCGGTCAATGCCTCGCGACTCGTGAGCTTGCTCACTCCGACCAAAATCACTAGATCCGTCGTAGCTATCTCCGCTTTCTTCATTTGAAGTGCTAGGGAGGATCCGGAGGTCGATTCATCCAAAAGTTGCTCGATAGTCGAGGTCTGCAGGCTGATTAAGGACGGGAAATCTGCCCACTGTGGAGTTCCCTTGTTCGACAGAGATTGCGCAGGCACGCAGAGCATGGAGCTACTGAGTCCAGGAATCGAGCAAAGCGGCCGGAAAGCAGCCTGGATGGTATGTGACATGGCCCCGAAAAGGAAGGCAAGCATCCAGATGAACAGGAAAACTGTCAAAGGGATACGAAGGAGCAGGATAGCACCCTTGAAAACCCTGAAGATGTACAAGCCGGTGAATGCGCCGCCGTCAACGACGTGTTGCGTGGTTACGACCGGCTTAACATTGCACAAACTGGAGGTGCGTTGAACACGCTCGTATGGAGCTTCCACCAATCCATCCCGTACTCTTTGCGTACTTGCCATGAAGTGCGCTGTAGAACCAGCGACGCCGACAAAAAAGACGCGAGTTAGATGGTTCCAGTGACAAACACTTGGAAGCCAATATGGTTATTGTAGAGGGTAGATGATTCAAATGGCAGTCCAAGCCAATTTGTTGGTGGTTGAAAGAGAAGAGAGGTTCCGGTGGCAAACACCTGGAACCCATTGAGGACTTAAGTCTCGTTTGAGACAAAGAAGTGGGATGCGTCACAAGATCCATTGATGATCCATGGATCGTTTGATGATCGATGGATCATCAATGGATCATCCACGTGCTGCGATCTGACTTGCCTCGACCTCCTGACTTGCCCTTCGTCCTCCACCTCCATGAATCAACGCGGGAATAGCAGAAGGCAAGAACCCAGGCGTTTGCCGCCGAGTTCCGCTCGAGAACCGACGCGTTTGCCGCGCAGTTCTCCGCCTTCCGCTCCTACAATGTTGCCCAAGGTCAACTCTCATTGTCTGATTCCCATCGCCCATTTGGACGCTATCGAGAAAGAGAGTCTCCCTGTGAGTAAACGTCTCCTCAAATGTTTTGAAATACGTCCTGACTTATCTGCAGCCCTCAGCATACTTTCACGGCGTCATCCGTAACGAGATCGGGGTCTTCGTCGTCTTCAACGCGGACTCTCCCGCTCTTTTTGATATCCCTCGCCCCCATAAAGACTCTGATGCATGTCCGGCACTATACTCGACGAGCTGGGCTAGCTATTCCCGTGCTTATCTATGCTGTGGACCACGTCGCCCGATCTTCGACGGGGACCTTCTTTCCGTTCTCGACATCGACTCCCGCTCCCTTCCGACGAGCAAAACCACGTCCTCGAGTGGATCACAATGGAGTCTCTCATCTGATCTCGTTGAGAAGTGGAGCGGTCTAGAAGGGTTTCTGTGCAAGGTCGTTACTGCTTTACGGTCCGAGGTGCAGGGACTTGTCCCAGCTGGGATCGTATTGCATGCGAAGCCTGCTGCTCATGGTTACTTGAACACATATGACGTTGAAGAAGACCTTCTCAGAGCCGTATATCACTCAAGAGACGTGTTCACCCCTCTTCTCGCTGCTATTGCACTCCATTTCGTTGCTTTGGATGGATCCAACCAGAACACGTCGTGGAGAACGAGACTCATCCAGCAGCTCAATCTTCAGCACAGACTGTTGGACTCGTTGGAGGAGTTGGTTCAACGATTCCTCCGGCATCCAGCTGGAATGATCTTGGACCTTACTCTCCAAAGTGTCCAAGATGCCGACTGGCTCTTTGGTCTCCTGATCAACGGAACCGCCGTCATCAACCCCCCAATCTATCTCTTCCTGGGCAAAGGCGAAGAAGCTGTGAAACTGGCATCGCGTCTAGAGGTGTTCCCCTCCATGCAGAACATCCAATTGAATGTTCAGGCCTCGATCCGCGCTTTGAATCAATCACCGCCGAACCCGGTATCCGTCTTGAAATACGTCTTCGCTCCGAGGATCATGAGACGAGACGGAGTCTTCATTAACCCAGAGTACTACGAGACTTTGGAGAGACGCCGACAGCAGTTCCCACCAGTTGAGGCCCACAGTGGCCAGAAGGAGGGAGAGAGTTTCACCGAGTTCTTTGCTCGGCGCAAAGCGCGCAAGCTTGCGGAGGAAAGTCCGAAACAATTGCAAACTCGCCTCCAACGCGAAAACGCTGCGAGAAGCCAAAATTGCCCGGGCCGGAAAGGTGCCAGAGTTTTCATGTGGGAACAGACCGAAGGGTTCTACATCCGTCGACTGGTTCAACGCAATTGCGTTGAAGACGAATGGTCCGATTTCGCTCCCTCACAGCGGGTGTACGATTCCTTCTCCAACAAGTGGGATCTTTGCTCGCCACTCGACCCCGTGGCTCGAGCCGAACCGAGCGACGACAACGACAACGACAACGACGACTTCGCCGACATATATGGCAGGGAAGCTCCGCTTCAGGCGGGAGACTTCGATGCCGAGATGCCCGACGGACTTCCTCCTCAAGTGCAATCCACGCTTGGGAATACGACGGCTGTTCTCCAAAATCTCGACACCTACCACAAGGAAAACCGCGAAGATATACAGCTTCTGAACGCACCTATTGTGGATGTCGCAGACCGGAACCCTGTCAGAGCCACCCTCGAGTACCGTGTCGGGTTCACCGGCGAGCCACGCGAGCCACGAGATCTAGACGAGCTCAAGAGGCCAGAGCGCACGTTTGACGACTCTGAACTGATGGATGTCGGCTTGTGCCGCCGCTTTCTTGGGTATGCGGGTTCTTCAAGGCCGCAGCCACTGAGCCATGCGGCTCGAGCTCTGATGCTTGCGCTCAAAGGCACTAAGCGTGTCAATGACCTTCCGCCCGACCTCTTTGATCTAGCAGACAATGCACTGCAACTTAACGTCTGGAGCAAGAAAGGTGTCGAGCTATTTGTATGGCGGCGTTTGAGCGGTCCAGCTCATTGTATGTTCGTGTACGTGTTGCATCCTGCCGAGGAAGGATCCACCGGTCGGAAGCTGTACGTTTCAGATGCCACCACCGCCATTCAAGTCGCCCGACTTCGTTGTTCCACTTGGGCGGCACTCATATCTTGCCTGTTCGATCTTGGGTGCGAGTTTCACATCGTCACTGAAGCTTCCACGTTCGCAGCATCGTCCTATCGACCGGATCAATACCGGTGTCGCAGTCTCGGAGTCCGCCCAGAGGATTACAATCCAGATGAGCAGGATCGTCTCATCTACTGGGACATGATGCGTTCGTTCCTTCTTTCCCCCCGTGGTCGACTTGCCCTCCAAGCAGGAGGGATTATCGCACGCCTAGCACGTCTGGTGATCGAAGATGCAGAGCTTGAGCTGAGATCTCATTTTGTCGATGTCGGGACCGCCGAGGAACGCATCGTGAATGGTGGCACATCGCTGTATCAGCATTGCTTAACTCAGGAAGAAGAAGATCTAGTTCTGGGCGTTTACAGCATCGAAATGAGTAGGTTCTGTCTTTAACGATTCTACATTTGCTAATATCCGCCTCTTCAGACCAGCTGGATCCCAATGCTCGCAATGGGCATCAGGAGAAGCGCATTTCGTGGTGGCCTCAAGCAGGAGCATGGTATTCGTCTGGTTTGAGTGTTGGCTGGTGGACGCCGGATTGCGAGAGCTGGTTCCAAGGGATTCTGGATGAGATGAAGACCAACAAGGCTGCCGTAATCAACAACACCAACTGGAAGCAGCGAATCCGTGGCTACAGCGCTGCGGGTAAACTTGCCAAGAACCTCGAAGCTGTTCACGCTGATTTTATTGCAACCTTACCGTACGAAGATATATAGATACATACCATCGTAATCATCTGTACCTTTTATAATACGCTATCAACTGCTTTCATGTGTGCTGAAACGACGGGCAACGGACGAGCGACCGATGAGCGACCGATCATTCGTGGATAGATAAAATGGGACATGATATCGGAGATATCGGGGCGGACTTTTTTCGGACCGCGATATCTCAGATATCATAAACGCTTATCTTTGACTTTATTTGGAGGATATTGAGCCCCAAATCGTGTGCCACCATCTGTCAATAAAAATTGGACCCTTATATTCGACCAAACATGTCTCAAAAAGTGCCCGACATTTTGGGATATTATATCTCATCAATACTGACCCCCTTTTTGGGACACAATAACTAATGTAACCGGAATCCGATCAATGACCATTTTTCTTAAGATAAAGAGTTGCTGATTGTGGCTCTGTTTTTGTGTTACAATATTTAAAATAAAAATCTATCTTTATGGCTCATTTTTTTAAACATCTGGCGGTGTGCGAAGATCTGTTGTTTGGCTGGCAGGATCCCGGACTAGTAACATCAAACATCTCAGAAAAAACCTACCGAGAGAGAAATATATGACGGATATAACAAATCCTCCCTGTCCCTACAATGTCACTATCGTTGATTTGGGTGGAACGGAGCTTAAATTTCCGCCCAGGTGGTCTCATTCTGGCAGTTGATTCTACAGGACCACCGATCGACTACACTCTGGCAAACCCATCTTGCGTCTCTCAATCATAGCCGCTGTGTCCTTTCACAATGTCGAACACCGGGCCGCCCTTTCCGTACATCGCACGTAGATCATCGACGAGCGAATGCGGAGCTTCATACGCAGGAAAATGGCCTCCACGCTCGTGCTTGTTACGGTGTACGATGTTTCCGGAGGCATTGGTCCAGCTGGAAGAGATGGATATCGAAGATCAGCGCACGTTTTTGGGGCCGAAGGAACACACACACCTAACTGGGATATTGACCTTTTCTCCCGCGAAGTGAGACATGCCCATCGGGATAGTCGGGTAATCTGCGGGTCCATAGATGTCCTTTGTCACATCCGACCGACCCTCTGCAAACTCATAATAGATGCGACTGGCCGCAGTGGGCCCGGCGCGGGAGAACCAGTAGATAGATATCCAGGTCAGGACTGTGGCTAATGCGTGACTAGCCGAAAACGAAGAGGAAAGGATCACGCACCTTCGTCGTCATTCCAGGGATACTTGTCCGCCAATTCCACCAGTTTCTCGTAGATCCAGGCCAGTAGTCCGACGGGGGAATCGGCCAGCGCGTAGCCGACAGTTTGGGGTCGCGTCGATTGCTGGGCATGGAATCCTCTCGAGCGGCTGTTGAACCGTCCCGTCTGCGCAAGACCGTCTTTTTCCTCCTGCGTCAACCCTCTTACACACAAAGCCAAAAATGAAAGCGGCTCGTAGTAAAGCGTCGGTGGACGTCCCCTAGATTGAATCAGATCAAAGAGTGGCGTCTAGTTGCACGGAGCACACACAAGGGCAAGTTGGTGTGCCAGGCTTTGTTGTGCTGGTGGCCATAGCGCTTCGCGATGCGGCGCGTGATCTGCGAGATTGTTGAACAGAAACACTGGAGATGGATCGTGGATCAGCGTACGAAGTAGCCCCAGTCGCCCCCTTGTGTGACTGAATCCATGTGTCAGAGTCGAAGACGTTTGAGCTCAGGTCATCTCACCGTATTCGTTGTAACCCAACGCAAGCATGATCTTGTGGCCGACCTACGCCTTGTCAGACTCTTGAGCGTATACGAATGCTGCGCATAAGAACCTCAGCATGCTGGTCAATGGCGAATCCCTTCTTTCTCGGGGCCTCAGAGAACCCGCACCCTGGTAGACTCATCACAACAACGTGGAAACTCGGATGTTCACTCGAACGCGCGACAAGCAACGGCACGATCTTCCTTGCCTCGAAGAAGCTGCCCGGCCCTAGCGAGAAAAAGCACCCATCAGTCCACTTGAAGACCCGATCCTAACCCGCAACTCACACCCGTGCACGAACAACAGCGGGACTGCGCCCTGTACTACGCTCCTCTGATGAACGTAGTGGACGTTGAGCGTCCCGTGGCCGTCCACAGCGATGTCGCGGGTGAACTGAGGCAGTTCCGCATTGAGAGCAGCTTCGTGCGTGCGCCAGTCGTACCCGTCGCGCCATCGGGCGACGAGCCGCTTGATGTCTGCCAGTGGCACGCCGTAGTCCCACGCCGCCTCGTCCAGCTCGTCCGGCAATCTCGTCGCTTTGAGTTTTTGGTGAAGCGAGGCCAGGGCATCGTCCGATACGGCGATGGTGTACGGCGTTTCCGACATCGGTGAGCGTAGAGATAGCTGGGCGAGTCGCCCAGAACTCGGGAAGGAAAGGACTTTTGGATCTGTGGGACACGGGGACACTTTTTAAGTGAATCGGGTGGGTACCGTGGTTCCTGAGGTTCCGCCCAATATCATATTGTTCGTCAGCTGCAATGGCCTCAGCTCGAGCGCTGACAGTGCCCGACTGCAACATCCTACAGGCCCGGTGTGAATTGCTTGCTGACAGCACTGAGATGAAGCGACGGAAGCTCAGTATCACGCACTGCGTCGCTGTGACAGATTCGCCCGTTTGTGTTTGATGAGTGGTACTGGGTGGTGCGTTTCTTCTCCTTGATTATGTCATGGACTCGCTGGGCGATCATGGGATGAATGTCCACAGGTCCAAACACCGACAGCGTGTCATTCGCACGCACACTTCATACCATATCAACACATCGGTGCATGCTGATCGTCTAAACAATGAGCTGAGCCTATCAAGCGCGCACCAACGGCGGGGTGTTTCTCACAAATCGCAATCCCTCTCTGTGTCACCATGGGCAATTGCACTGCGCAGCACGGTTCTAGACGCTCTATGGTCTTTCTCAGAAGCCAAGCGGGTGGTTTCCGGTGTCTGGATGCTACTCAAGTCATTATCTCTGACGAAGCTCCCTTGCCGAACTCTTCTCGGCACCCGTGGTGTAAGCGGCGGTTTGACGCTCGAGCGTCCAATGCTGATGGCGAGAAACCCCGGTCATTTCTTGTTACTACGCGTTTGGGGGATGTGGCAGAGGGCAAATGATATATAAAGCTCCTCATAGTGTCTACTTCGGTCATGTTCGCGAGCGCGATTTTCTTGCTGGTACGCCCTGAAGGACATATTCAGCAACTGGATCTCGCCTCTCAAGCTCATTGTTGGTCCACCATGTGCGAAACCGCTCAAGGGACCCGATACGTTGTTCTTTGTGCAACAAACCGAGCGATGGAGCTTGTTCCGTGTGTTGATGCGACGTGGAGTCTTCGCAGAATGTACCGGATACCACCGACTGGTGGCGAGCGCAATGCGAGCCGACATTCACAGCCAAGGGACTCTTCGTCGTGGGCAATCCGTCAACAGGGCGTTCTCTGGAGCTAAGGCTATTCGGCTTTCCCGGCGAATGATCTCTGCACCAGAGATCTGAAGGCCGCTTCTCACATCTTGCCCCGTGCTGTTCACTCCAAGATCAATCCTGGTGGACGGGATCTAAGTAGGGAAGACTTGTTGCCGTTCAGTAAACCGTATGTCGACCGTCAAGACGAGAGTCTTCCTCTCGTTTCAATCTTTCTATCATCAGGAACGTGCGGCACTGAACGGAAGACATAAAAGAGATAGGATCTGCAAGGCCCAGCTTTGCACTATCTCGATTCTAGCTATCAACACCAACAAGGAGCTCTGAGAGAGAAAGCACTTGAATTGAAGTCTGCTGGGCTCTGTGCTTCCACATAAATTGTTGATGATCTTCCAGGCCTGATTGCTGGGACAGTCGGCCGGAAGCCGTGCACACCACTCCGGGATTCTGGGCCTACCAGCTCGTAAATAGATTTCTTGCTTTGCGCAGACCTATAGAATCTGGGGATTGCACATCCGGCTAAATTCCTCTCGAATCATGTGGCACTCTCAAAACGCCTGGATGGCGAACGTCATGTGCCAGCTGAAAAGGAAGGGAGAAGCAGTGACTTTAGCAAGAACACACATGGTGCGTTGGACATACACCGTCGAACCCATGTTTTATCGCAGCCAAATTTACGCGCAGATCATGAGCAATCAGTTGGGATCACGGAAATCGGCGGTCGGAATTCGAAGACTTCAGAATTTTAAAGGGACAGGAAGACGTTGGTTGTAATCTCAGACTACTTCAACCGGAAGGCAAAAAACGTTCCAGATGGTGCGTTGCAGTTGAATGATTGGGGAGACAGAGAACACGTCACCTGATCAGGGCACGTCATCCACCTGCACCAAGCACAGGCACACACCATCTGTTCGTCGGCTCACAATCTATCCGAATACCTCGCTCATTCCGAATAAGCAACGGATCATCCCACTCATACCTGTTGATTGAGATGTGCGACGGATGTTGTTGTGGATCTTTCACTATACCCTGACACCTGGACTCGCGCCTGGTCTGGCTCCGAGCCGTTCCCGCGGCACACCATCGGTCTACAGAAGCAGCCGACCGTCACAATTGCCGAGGAGCCTGGTCATATCTGTACTTATATCTGAGCCCCAGTGGCCTCATCGCATCGCCCTGCAGAGCTGCCCTACCCCGCAATGTTAGACACGGGGCAGCCTTCGAGCTCCAGCGCGGCGCCCGCACCACCAGCACGGGAGGATCTGTACTCCGGCGAGGACGGTGCGTGGTGGTATTCATCCATCTTTGCCAGATCTTTGGTCTGACTCAGACCCCCTTCCCCATTCCATTCCGCTTGCAGGCATCCGCCTCCTCGACGCGTTCCTCCCCCGCAGCGCCCTCTACGACTCGCCCGCGCGCGAGCCCGTCCCACGCTGCCACGGGCAGACCCGCAAGCCCGTCTTCTCGAGCATCCTCGCATGGACAGAGAACGTGCGCCTGCGTGTCGGCCCGCGCATCATGTGGCTCTGCGGCTCGCCCGGCTGTGGCAAATCGGCCGTCGCGCAGACCGTGGCGGAGTACTGCGCGGCGCACCGCGGGCCGGGGTCGCTCGGCGCGACGTTCTTCTTCGACCACGCGGACGCGGAGGTGTGCGACGTGCAGGCCGTGGTGCCTGCCATCGCGCGGCAGCTGGCGGAGCGGATCCCCGCACTCAGGCCGCACATCTCCCAAGCGGTGCAGCAAGATACGGCGATCCGCACGCGCGATGTCGAGGTCCAGGCGCATGAACTTATACTGGAGCCGTTTGCGGCCTTGGCAGGAGTCGGTGTCGATGTTGCGGCGATGGATCCGGTGTTGGTCGTGATTGATGCGTTGGATGCTTGTGTCGGAGGGGAGAATCAGCGCGTTCTTCTGTCTCTGATTGCGCGCTTGATCGCAGTGCACCACCTCCCGCTATACTTCTTTGTCACCTCCCGACCGTCGCCCGACATTCTCCTGGCGATCAACAGCCCGACATACCGGCCCATTCGTCTCCATCTTCACCTCGACGAGCTCACGTTCGACGCGGACATCTTCTCCTTTCTCAAAGCCGAATTCGCGCACATCGAGGCCACACATCCGGCGTTCCAGGCCACTGCTGAGTCCGAGCACTGGCCCACAGAGGACATCATCCATTTCCTCGTCAACACGACTGCCCGCCATTTCCTGTACGCTGCGACGGTCATGCAATATGTCGGCCATCCAGATGGCCTGCCTTCGCAGAGGCTGAGCGAGGTGCTTTCTGCTGCCGCGAATCCTGCGATCGGCAGGAGTCCTTTCGAGCAGCTGGTCACGTATATCCTCTCGACTGTCTCGCCACGTGATCCCCGGACCGGACCGGCTTCCCTGCTCCGTGCGCTTGGCTCGCTCACGGTCCTGTACAAGCCATTGGCGTTCAATGAGCTGCGAAACCTTCTCGACCCCATCGAACAAGAAGCGGTCAAAGCGCTGAAAACTGCGTCTCCGGTCGTCCACGTACCGGAGGACAGCCCGGCGTTGGATCTCGCGAGCACCCCATGGAACCCGGGCCACAAGCGCCGACGCACGATCCGGATCCCCCAGCGAAACACGATCGAGTTTCTGTTCGACGCAAGACGCGCGCCCGGCCATCTGTGGGTCAATCACGGCATCCACCACGGGGAGATGGCGAGGCGGTGCATCCGGTTTCTGGGGCACGGGATGGACGATGCCGAGGATGGGGTCGACCTGTGCGCGTGCAGACTGTTACGGGGATGTTGATTCTCATCCGTTTGCATAGGATTACGTACCAGTATGTGCGAAAGCGGTGGACGAAGCATCTGGCGCATGCACTGCCGTCGGCAGGCCTGCTCGATGCGCTGAGGCAGTCCAGATTCGTCTACTCGCGGGTGGCAGCCGAAGCCACCGCTGTGATATCGTGGCTCCAGGTATGCCTAGCTCTGTTTCGTTTTCTTTCTCCATGCTGATTATACCTCCCAGATGCTTTCGGACCCCCCGCACGACATCCTCAATCTATGGCAGGATTGGCTGGCGAAAATCCAGGTCGAGCCAGTTATTGGTCGTTTGGTTTGATTTTTAGGGATACCGGACTATTGTTTGCGTCGCCATGTTTATATTACGATCATCCCCCGGTCTCTGCCTGAATTCAGAGTAGATATGGACCTGCCTTCTCTGGTTCAAGATAAGACATGTTACTGCCCAAGGCCAAGGCCAGCATCCAGCGATCATTGATCTGTCAATCATCTACTTACAGTGACAAAAACTGACATTTCTCGATCTTTGGGAGAGTCCCATGAAACGCATAGAGGACCTGCTAAGGGCATACACTCTCCAAAGGAAGATAGACTGCAGCTAGGAAGCTCGTGCTCTATATAGATCCAAATCCCGCCTACATCCAAGTTCAGGAAGAGTTTTACAATGCTTGCCAATTCGATCGGTACATGAGAAGGAGAATCTTATGAATCTTGTGCGTTCACCAACTGAAAGGAACTATTCATAGCAAGCAGTGCGACTCGAACCGCCGCGATGTGCAGCGAACTGAGCGCAGACGATTCGCTAGGTTAAGTTCGATACGGAATTCTTGAGCGTATACCAAAACAGCTTCCGACCCATCGCAGAGGAGTCGATGGCTCTTCGCAGAGAGTGATTTTTCTGTTCGATATCAAGAACCTGTTGAAGCTTGTTTGTATTAGCGACTATCACAGTATGTAGACATGACATCATAAGTAGTATTCTTAGATTACTTTGGCTCGCTCCACAATGACCTCATACCTGACCTCATTATTGCGTCATCCATTACTCATCTATGATATCATTACTCCACTATGACATCATGATATCTGCTCCAGACTGGTATATAAACCTAGTACTATACGCTCCATATCCTCAGCTCCTGTGTCTTACACTCGCTGAGGTATGCATTCTCCCTTACGATCTAATGACCTTACTTATGACTTGTACCATAGACTCTGTCTTATAGGTACAGCTAATGATATAGCTCCTGTGTCTCTACACTCGCTGAGACTCTGTCTTATAGGTGATCGCTACTGGTCGTATCTCCACTGCGCGGTATTGTCTGCGACAGAACCCGCTGGTCCAGACACAGCGCCCGTAATAAGAAAAGGCGCGTGGTTGGTGTTCAACGTTCGCGCTGATTCTTGCTTCATGCATTTATGATTCTCATTGGTTGTATCTGCGTATAACTTCACCGTGATAAAAGCAGGGTTTTACTGAAGCTCGAGATGACAGGCTATCCTATTCATATATATTGCTCGGAAGGTGCACTGCCTTCTGAAGTAAGAAGGTTCGTCACGACCTCCTGTAGAACTATAGCGGAGAGCAGGCAACCTGTGTGTTCACAAAAATTCTCCCAACATGGTACAGATTCATCTGAGTTTAACTTCTCATTCGAACTTTGTGCAAAAAAAAAGTTGGGATTACTGTACTTGATCTTACCTGCTCTGATTATCTAGGGATCAACATTGCAGGCTGATGAGAAATTCTGAAAGACATGAATGACTGTGCAGAATTTCTTAACACCTAAGAGTCCCCCAAAAAGGGACGTACTCGCCGAGCTAGCGACTGTTTTTCACTCATGTGTTCATCTTGTGCGAATTGGACATCACACGTGATCGTGTCGCCAGCCACCTGCGTGCACCGCCACAGACCCAGACCCTATCAGACGTTTTTGGATTACTCGGGCCCTCTCACAGGGTCTCCGAAACGCAGACAGAAGACAATGGATCTCTCGAGTCGTGTGGGTTGCGAGAAATATGAGCCTTTCTCAAAGGACTGACGCTGACGATTCCCCGAAGCGGCAATTCGAAGACAAAGGCAAATGGCTACGCCATTGTCCTAACCGAGCGCTTGGTCCCACCGTGCCGCCTCGTTTCCAATCCGAGTGGGCTTTATAACCGGAGCTCTGTGGGCGCCGCAAGCCCTTCGTACAAAGCCGTCGCCTCCACTCTCTCTCCTTTCCCATGTCAACTATGGACCCAGTGTGTGTGTCCTATACCCCGCATTACGACTTCCGCACCGCGCATTACGACGATGCCACCGAGTTCAACGAAGACGAGCGTCCGAAATCCCGTCCTGCTCGCGTGCGCGACCAACTCGAGACGGGTTTCGAACAGTTTGAGGACATGGAGATGGCACTGGGCACGATCGATGATGAGCCTCCTTCGGTTTATACGCACCACAGACACGTCGCCGAGATCGTCGAGCCGCTGCGCGCCGTCGTGATGCGGCGGCCAAGCTCTCCTTCGCGACCATCACTCGAACGCGGCCGGGCGCTCAACGTACACGCGCGCCCATTCGTGCCGGGCGCCCAGCGGTGGCGCTCCCCCTCCGCATCGTCCGATTCGTCGTGCTCGGATCCCGAGACGCTAGTGGACAAGTACTATGGCGACGGGGAGGATGCGGACCAGTTTGGCTTCACGGTGATGGAGAGCGAGCTGTTTGGGTACTGCATGGAGCAGCTGGACCGCGGGACGGATCCGGTTTCGGTCATTTCGCACCTCTTGCGCCGTGCCACCGAGGATGCGGCCAATGTAATCAGTGTGTGTCTTGTCGCGGAGCGCCTGGGGCAGCATTACCTCGGAGGAATGAAGAGCTGGAACCACCTGGTAGAGGAGGAGGTTGTTAAGACATTCAGTTCGTATTGGAAGGTACGGCATCTTTCCAGAATCAAGGCCTGGATTGGCGCTGACATTGAGTTTAGCCCACTGGAGGTTGGTCCATCGAACTGCACCTACCGACGCCTTACGACTCGCCCTACTCCCGAGGCTTCAACCTCGCTCGCGTGGTCGGAGCCCTGCATGAGCACTCCCTCCTGACCGCCCGCACCTTCCACTCCGTCCTGACCTTCCTCGCCGAAGACGTCGAGCCCTCGTTGTTTCGACTCACCGCCATCAGCGAGGCTCTGCAGAAGGCTGGCTCGAATCTCGAAGCGACAGATGTCCGGCGGGTGCTGATGGGCCCTCAGAGGCTTGGGGCTCTGACGACTGGGTGTGTCTCTGCGATTGTGAAGAAGAGGTTCGTCTGGGCATGGTGCCCGGCGAGCCAGACTCTGTTGTTGGTCCGTCTACTTTCCCTCCTCTCCCACTAATACATTGCAGAGGCTGATAGTTTTCTAGAATATCTTTCGCCTGCTGCAGGATCTGGAATGACTGTTTTCTCAGCATATGTCCGTAACGTAATCGTCGAAGAACATTGTATATACAAGTCCAAAGGACAGCACAGAGCACAGGCAGACATGTATTCAATTCGATACCCCATCCAATTGCTTTGAATGACTGATTTCGTTGACACTGAAAAATCCAGTTTATCGAGTCTTCGCTGATAAACTGTACTATATTTTGACCATACATTTCAAGTGGATGAGTGGTAGGATGGCTATAAGTACTGTCATCTTTGAGAAAGGAGAGGCGTTTGACGATGAGCTGGAGTAGTTTGTGAGCATTTTGCAGGTCTGAAGTACCGAAGCGGTGTCACAGCCAAGCGTGTCGCATCAGATGCGCTGCCCGCCATTTGATCCTAAAATCGGGTGATCGACCCTGAGGTAATCGATTGGGTAACGATGGCAACCGGGTCACAGCCACTTTTGACCTCCCATTGGCATCTCCCTTCACAATCTACGCACGCAGCCCATCGCAATCGCCCGAGAAGATCTTCTGCAATGACCACAACTACAAAAGCAAAAACGCCACTTCGGCTAGACGAGAACGCTCTCCTGCACCCGGTCCTCGTCCAATCCCCGGTCTCTCCTACACCTACTGCCACGTCGAATCCGATTGGGAGCGACTTCCGAGCGACGGGGACAACTCCGATATTACAGCAGGGCTCCTCCGCAACTGGCCTGCCCTCCGCTGGCGGTTCCACTCCAACGCCACTCTCCGCCAAACGGGTGTCATTCCCACCGCCTCCGTCCTCTGCACCTCGCACCCCAACAACCCCCACTGGTTTCGGCGAGCTGCTCAGCAGCACGCGGCCCGCGCCCTCATCACCCGGCCTGTCCCGGCGCACCTCCCTCGCCCGATCGTCGTCCTCCGCCTCTGTGCGGAGCGGGTCCGCCAGCGCGAGCCACAGCCGCCGAACCTCGAAAGTGCTGGCGGGTGTTAGGCATCGCCTGAGCCAGAGCATCAGTGCTGCGGACGTCACGGGCGTGGCGACTGCCAGCATGCCTGCGGACGGCGCCGGCGCGGCGGACGATCTGGTGGTGACTGTCGCCTCCTCACCCGAGGGGATGCCGGGCTCCGCGCAGGCCATCGCGGCCCGCCGCGCACCCATCGTCATCCGCGACTTTGCGTTCGACGGGAAGGATCCGCGGCACGCGGGCCAGGGCCCGGACGTGCCCCGCCTGAACGACCCGCGTGTGCTGCGCCGGCGGCTGCTGGGCGAGAGCCGGCAGTCGGATTACGGCCCGGGCGAGGACGACGTGGACATCGACGAGGACGAAGACGGGGTCGACAACGGCTGGGGTGGCCTCGGTCGGTTCGGCCTGTGGGGCACTGTCGGGTCGTCGTCAGGATCGGGGTCGCTGCCCTCGCCCCGGCCGGACGTGTCGTCTGCTGACCTGGCGCGCAACTTTGCTGCCGACGACGAAAACGATGACGAACCGTATGACGACTACGCTGATGTTCCTGTCCCCCCTGGGCTGTATCAGGCACAGTTCGCTTTCGAGCCGGAGGACACGTCGGAGATGTCACTGGTTGAAGGGCAAATTGTGCGAGTCGTCGAGAGCAGCGGTGCTGGTGCCGGATGGGCAGTGGCAATAGCTCGCACGCCACCGCTGCTGATCCCGGACATGGATCTGCTGGCATTGAACCGACTTGTAGGCGCCAGAGAGGACGCCGGTGCCATGTGGGGCGAACTTTGGGAACAATATGTCGGACAGCCGAACAAAACGGAGCCGGGGCCGGACCGCAGAGCGCTCGCACCTGAGAGTTTTCTGGTGTGCATCCGGAGAGATGGCGAGCTGGAGGACGGCGGGGCAGAACGGCTGGCGGCGTATCTGGAGTGGGTGGAGCAAGAGCGTGCGAGGCAGGAAGCAGAGGATGCGGGTCATCAGGACGAGCTCAACGCTGAGCATGCTTAGCGTCATTGCCTCTGTCTGTCTGCAGGGTTATTCGGCTTGGGCTGGACAGGCCGCTCTGCGCGACACGACGCGCGGCATGCTGTGTGCTATTCGGATTCCCTCGCAAAGGACGGAATGATGGCTGTCCCTGTCCTGTCTGTCTGTCTGCTTTCGAGCATCTGTTTCAAACTCATAGACCCTGCTGCCGAAACGACGACGGACATGTCTCTTCATAGACTTTCGTGGTAATATGCACTTGGGCTTTTGCCATCTCACCGCAGCTGTATTATATCATCACATAACAGCACTGTTGTACAATTCAATTATCCGTCTCGACATCTGAACGAGGGTTTTTCGCCAAGTAGCAACCCGTAGCTCGCGAAGTCTCACGCATGGGCGAGCGCCTCCAACGCAGAAGCATCCGCACAGGATTCGAAAATGGCGTCACTGGGACCCCAATGGAGCTTTGATAAAAGCTGATCTGGCCATTAGCATGAGGAGGCATTACATACCAGAGTTCGCAATCACCGCCAGTCGCTGGGCCCCGGTGTCCCCACGAGAACCCAGGGCTGCATACAGCGCATGTGGTGCCAGCCTCCGGTTCGGGAGCCACGCAGTACCCGTCGAGGTCGTCCGCCGGAGGAGAAGCGTGCCCAGCAATCGTTGAGCAAAATGGACAGATTGGATGGGGAGCTGATCATGAAACGGTGCCTGCGGGCCTCATTCTGACTTTTGCATTTAGGTCGTCCGGCGGCGAACAGGGTGCTCGCGACACGAAGATCGAGTCTAACAGCGGGGTGGCTCGATGGCTGGATGGCTGCTGTAAAGACATGGGAGTTGGAGGTGGGTGGGGCCAGCGCTTCATCTTGGATGCGGGTGGGTCAGCTGTGCGCGTCGGGCCGTGCTGTTAGTAAAACAGCCCTGTCCTCTTCGGGACTGGGGGCCGGGGATACTCAGGTACCGACAGGAGAAGGCCCGGGCACTACGTAGGAGCTCTGATTATCCCATGCAGGAAAGCGCAGATGCCGGAGACTTTCGCCAGGATCTCGCCCGCAGGGCTAGTGCTATGTCAGCCAGAGAAGATTCCAAGCCAGCTGACCAGCGCCGAGGATGGATAGCTGTCGTCGATCTGCTTCAATGGTCTGCTCTTGCTGAGCGTGCAAGTGCCCAAAAGTTGGATTCGCACAAGATCACCGTCCAGCACGGTCAAGAGATGGGGAGTCACACATCAACGTGACGATTGTCGGCCTGTAGTTCCGCGCAAACTGGCCTGAATCCGGCGATGTTTCGACCGGAAATACCTGTCCCCCTAGCGTATCCTGCCTAGACAGGACCTGGCAGGACCACGCAGCAGATCGGGATTGCTCGACATTGATGCAACTGCCGCACCGCTGATCGCTGTACTTACTACCGCACTATCTGATAGTCTAGCGACGTCAGCCTTTGGGAGGGGGGGGAGACGTCGCAGATAAGTGTCTGACGACCATGCGACTATTCTTGGCACGCGCGACTTATCCATGGAGATCTCACGATGGCCGACCCAGGGCCTTCCTTGAGCAGAAGCCCCGGAAGTCCCGGGCGGGAGGCGTTTCGCCGGAGCGCAACAGGATCTGCGGGCGCCAAAGTCGGCCTGGGAACTGGGGTGGAGGAGAAGACGCACACACAGACAGATACAGGCTCAGATCTGGTTCTAGACGGGAGTGATCGGCCATGACAAAGGGTGGGTGGGAGCTCGGGTTGGAGCTTGTGACAGACCAGGCACGCGCGACATATATACGTTACGTACGCAGAGATAAGTCCGTCGACAGGAGCGACATGCAGACAGCCGCCTCCGCGTCGCAGCGCAGCCATGCATGAAGCTTGCGGCCCTTATCCTGCGCAGCCTGGGATTTTGAAATCGAATGGGGGGCGCCAGGAGAACTCTGAACGCCGGCGTGATTGTGTCGAGCGTGTGTGTGTATGCTTCTGTTCGGCCATCCGCGAACTCTCTGCTCTGCACCCATAAGTGAGGCCATATCCGCCGTAAGCATCTCACGCATGACGACGTGTCAGACACTTGGACTGGAGCGAACGTCGAAACGACGAGCCAGAGTCCTGTGCACATGCTTATCTTCCCCACACGCGCGCCGCTGCCGGTTTGGTCACGGTCCCGTTTTGGGGGAGAGACCCACTTATCGGCCATATGGAATACGGGAGATTTGATCTGCCGGCGCCCAGGCTAGCCAGTCCTGTAACGACATTTCAATAAAAAGTGTCTCGCGTCCGCATAGTTTTTCCCCTCTCCGAGTGCCCGTCCCCCTCCGTCCCCTCCCTCCCTTCCTCCCGCACACGACCCTGACTTTGGCCCGCCCATGTCGTCGTCCATCAAGGATTCCGGCTCTACCTCAGATCCCGAGAAGGGCTCGTCGCACGGGGACGTCGTCGTCCATGACCCAACGAAGGAGGAGCTGAACGTCTTCGACGGGGCGGAGGCTGAGCCCGTCGACCCGACAAGCTTTTGGGGCCGCTCGCTGGCCCTCAGCGCCGCGCTCGAGCGCAAGGTGCGCCACCGCCCGCCTCAACGCGCCGTTTTTTTCTTCTTCTGACCCGATCGATCTGTTCGCTGCATTAGATCGGCATCGAGGCCCGAGGCATCCAGCGCGTGCCGGAGGATCAGCGCCCCGACCACCCGAGCGGCAACTTTTTCGTGTGGATGGCAGCGAACTGTGTGCTGCCGACATTCGGGATCGGGCTCCTCGGCCCCAGTCTCTTCTTCCTCGGGCTCGGGGACAGCATGCTCACGATCTTCTTCACGAACGTCCTGACATGTTTCCTGCCTGCTTACATGTGCGCTCTGTCTCTTGCCCCCGTTTCCCGGTGCTTTCGGAGGGCTGATGTGATGCGTATCGTGTGATACAGGGCGACATTCGGTCCCAAAACCGGGCTGCGACAAATGACGTCAGCGCGCTTCTCGTGGGGATGGCACGGCTCCAAGGTCGTTGCCCTGTTGAATTGCATCGCCTGTGTTGGATGGAGGTGTGTTGCTGCGGGATTGTCGCGTCGGGCCCGCAACGTTGGCTGATCCCCCCCTCCCAGTGCCGTCAACAGCATTGCCGGTGCCCAGACCCTCCGGTCCGTCGCGGACGACAAGATCTCGCATGCGGCGGGTGTGGTGATCATCGCCGTGCGCAGCACCTCGCTCCTTGTCGTTGTTACGCATCGCGCTGACGTTGTGCGCAGATTGGGACCCTGATTATTGGTCTTCTCGGATACAAGCATGTGCACATCTACGAGAAGTGGTCCTGGATCCCGACCGCCATCACCTTCTTTATCGTGCTCGGGTGTGCCGCGAAGCATCTGGTCAACGTGCCAATGGGGACGTGCGTTGTCGTATTCCGTGTTACCGATGTGCTGGGACTCATGAGCAACATCCGCACAGTGGCCAGGGCGAGGCGTCGAACGTGCTGTCGTTCATGGGTGTCATCTTCGGCTTCGCTGCCGGGTGGGTCTCGCTCGCCAGCGACTACAACGTCTATCAGCCGGCAGAGACGCCGGCGTGGAAGACCTTTGCTTGGACCTACGTGCGTGCAGCCCAATTCTTCGATCTTCGCCTGCTTCGGGGCTGAATCACACCCACGCCCACAGTCCGGCCTGATCTTCCCCTTGGTCCTCGTGCAGTGGCTCGGCGCAGCGATCATGTGTGTCGCCGGGGGCGCCGCGCCGTCGAATGACGCCTGGACCGCGGGCTACGCCGCGGACGAGGTCGGTGGGCTGCTGCACGCCGTGCTGGTCCCCGTCGTCGGCAAATTCGGCAAGTTCTGCATGGTGCTGCTCGTGCTCAGCGTGATCGCCAACAACATCATCAGTACGTCGTGCCCCCCCCACAGCTGTTCGTCACGTGCTAACGCGTACGCGCAGATGTGTACTCGATGGGTCTTTCAATCGCCGTTGTGGGTGTCTGGCTCGCAAAGATCCCGCGTCTCGTCTGGCCTGTCATCATCACCGCCATCGTAAGTGATTTGCACGACTCCAGCCGACTGGCTAGATGCTGACCCGCTGGCACAGTACATTCCGATCGCCATCGCCGGCGCGACGTCCTTCGCGTCGTCGCTGCAGAATTTCATGGACGTGCTCGGCTACTGGCTCGCCATCTTCGTCACCGTCGTTCTCCTCGAGCACTTCGTCTTCCGCAAGAGCGACTACGCGAACTACCACGTCGCTGACACCTGGAACCGCCAGGACAAGACGCCCATCGGCCTCGCCGCGTGCGCCGCGTTCCTCTTTGGCGCCCTGGGCACTGCCATGGGCATGGCACAAGTCTGGGTGCGTGTTGCGGCGTCTGCTCTCCTCTGGGAACGCCCCGCTGACGATGCTTTCTTCTCCCTGCTAGTACGTCGGCAAGATTGGCGCCCTCGTCGGTGGGTCTGCCAATCCGTTCGGTGGAGATATCGGGTTCGAGTTGGCTGCTGCATTTGCGGGCATCGTATTGTGCGTTCCCTCTGTCCCACTGGTAACCTCTGCTCGCGACTGACGCTGCTGTCCCTCCTCAGCGTCCCCGCACGTTATCTGGAGCTCAAGTACATTGGGCGGTAGACGAGTGTCGTTCTGTACCACTTCTTATCTAATCTCCTAGACTTATTGGGTTAATGCCGCCGCCATGACGATGAATGAAATGTAGCCACACCTGCGCCGTTTGGGCAGATCTTTTGTTACAACTTGTGACGGTTGGCGTCCTGAGTGTCCTTGGTTATCGTGCGACCCGCGGTCGACTCTTGCCAGAAGGGGTGCATGTGAAACAACATTCATTCACCAGACTACCCAGTCCAAGCATTCGTGTCTCCGTGTCCGGCTCTCTGCGAGATCTCTCAGATCCTAAACCCGCATCCACATGCCCCCCGATCGCCGCGAGACGTCCAAGCCTCTCAATCAAGGAACCCGAGTGGTTCAGACACATCCTCAGTACACCTGCACATGCCGTCTCAGACAACCCCCCAACGCTCGGGATACTCTGCACTCACCACGATCCGCGGCCCCTTCTTCTTGCGCGGAAAGATGATCACGCCCCCGCCCGGCGACGGCGTCACGACGTAGGTCCTGGCAGTCCGGCTGCTGCTTGCCGCGCTCGGGCCCAGGGCCGGGGCCGGGCGCAGGCTGTTGCCGGGGGTAGCAGTGTGCCGGCCCACAGAGCTCGTGGGGGCACTGCGGGTGCTGTGAGCCTGCGACATCGAACGCGAGGCGGGTACGGCCCCGGTGGGTGCCGCCCGCCGTGCGTGGTCGGCGGAGCTACCGCTCCTGGAGCTGTGGACCTGCGAGATCGAACGCGACGGGGCGTGAGCGTGCGACATCGGACGCGATGGGGGAATGGTGCCGGTGGGTGCCGCCTGCCGCGTGTGGCCGGCGGCGCTACCGCTCCTGGAGCTGAGCACCTGCGAGATCGAGTGCGACGGGAGGATGCTGCTGCTGGAGGATGATGCGCGAGGTGCGGGGCCCGCGGAGCTGGTTGACGGGCGATGGCTCTTGCTCGAGGAAGTCACTCGCGACGTGGCAGCCGCCGACGTCTGGCGCGCCCAGTCTCCCACGCCTCGCTGGGTCGCTGTGTATCTCGCATGTGCTTCCGGGGAGGCGTCGTACACCGACATCGTGCGACTGGAATATGAGCGCGAGTGCAACTGAGTGGTTGGCGCTACTTGAGTGCCGGGAGGTTGCTCGACGGGTAGAAGCGAAGCCGCGGCAGGTGAAATGCGAGACGTAGGCTGCTGGACTGTTGTGCATTTATGGCCTCAGCACGTCACGCCATACGTATGCATGCAGTCGACGGAACAGTGGTAACATTCTGGGGTGCAGACCCTGCTTCCTGCTTGCCGAGTCACCATCGAGGTAAAGGCGCAGAGCAGAAGCGGGCAGTCACAGCTTAGGTGCGGCAGGAGCGCTTAGCACCAAGAAGTACACGCATTTGGATAATCGGCTGTTCAGGATGAGCCCTGGAATGGAGCCAGAGAAGGTGCTCGGAAGACATGAGGCGAGGCAGCAGAGCTGTTTGGGGTGATGAATCTTGATGATTGATGGATCTACTGCTAACAGTCCTCGTGACCAACGCTGCATCTGATGCGCCTGGCGCACGCCTTCGCAAGATACCAGCTCCGTGATGTCCCACCTAAGGGTGTTTGCTCTAATCCTTCCATCCCAAACCATTATACTCTCTGTCGGTCGAGACATTCCGGGCGGTCAACAGCTCTTAGATGCGCACTAGCTTAATACAAGTATTGTTACTTCAGAAGATTTTCGTTCCCGCGGATCCTTAGGCGCACGTCGACAGCCCGGCACACCCAGCATTTCCTCGAGGGCTTTGCCCACGCTGATTTGGGGAAGGCGCTCTGCGGTAGCGCTCGTTTGCATCCCGAGCAAATCCTGCAGTCGAGCGAAGAGGTCTCCTCGAGAACGGCCAGCGGCAACAGTCCATGCGACCTGTACTCATCTCCCCAGATACGCGGCGCGGTGACCCACAGCGCGATGTAGCGCGCGCTTTGCTGGCGGATGCTCCCGAGGAGCCGAAGATATCCGGCGCCGTCGAAGTAGGCATGAAGAGCAGCTATCAGCTTGATGTCGTTCGCAGAATAGACCAGCATCGCTTCATCGACCACGCGCCAGTTGAGGGTCCGCGACGAATCTGCCGTAAGGGTGTTAGGTCCCTTAGCCATACTGACTGGCAATGACGAAAACACTACACACCCTTGAGAGCGGGCAGCTCCTTGTCGATTTGAACTTTGTGCTGCCGAATCGCGTGCGCCAGCCCATCGAGCTTGTGCACGTGGACATACATGGAGGAGTTCCTCTTCACCTCGTTCCGCGGCAAAAACGCGATCAGGCGTCCCTGCTGCTGGTAGGGTTTCTCGCCGCGGAGCGCTCGGCTCTGTACATCCACCAGCTGCAGATCCACGACGTTCACCAGCGTCACCCCGTGCTCGTGTAACAGCGCGCTCTGGTCCATGCGCCCGTCAAACACGATCTTCTCCACCTCGGCGTTGGCAAGGACGCCGTCGAAGAGGGGGTGCAGGGCGTCCTTGTTGAGGATGGTGAGGTCGAAGAGAAAGATGGGCATCTCGTCCGAATCCACCACTGCAGCGCCGATCGAGATGACGGTCATGAGTCCACTTTCGTAGCCGAGGTAGTCGCCCTCGCAGTCGAGGAAGACCCTGGCAGCCTGGCTGAGCGTGGACAGCGCGGAATGGACATCGTCCCCGGTCTTGCAGTGCGTGTACATGTCGAGGCCGCGCGGGAAGAAAGAATGCCGTGTGGCAGTGGAGGAAGGGTCAACATGTGCTCTTACGAGCGGCGCCTGTAAGAGCTTATCAGACAGGGCGCAGGCCTGGTTCGATCGTAAGAACGCCGTCCTGTGGCGCTTCAATGAATGCAAGAGGAAGAGTGCAGCACGACGCACCCGCAACTCTACGACTGTAGCCTCAAACAAAGTATTCTGCCCACCATCAGCACAGGCGATATGACCGCCTCACCCAATTACTACCTCGATCTGCCCGAAGACGTTGGCCACGAAGCAGACAGCCTGAGATAGGGTCGTCAACGCCCGCAAAATGCTAACTGTCGGGGTTCGTACGCCGTGCCGGCTGCGACGTAAAGTTCCGAATTTCGAAACGTGTTCTGACTGCCCGAAAGGCGTTTGAGAAACCGGCCAGCAGATTCAAAGATTTGAGAGTTGACAAGTTGGCTCATGGAATCATATCTTTGTCGTCCACGTGATTGATTGTCACGAAGCGACTGTTCAATATTTTCCAGGAGGGATCAACAGGAAATTACATTGGAAATTGGATGAGAGAACTTATGAGCGTATATCAGCTCTAGTTTTTTACTGCTCGAGTAAATCTGTTTGACAAACAAGCAGCCCGTGATCAATGCGGTGCGGTGGCCTTCAGTCAAACAGCCCACTGTGGGAAAGAGAACGCAAAACTCAATTTGTAACGCTGACTCACCGAACAATTTTCACCGGACACAAAGACATACATACACTTGCAGGTTCCGCAGCTCAGTTCAATCTCTCCCCTTATGGCATCCGTGCAGGCCCACTTCCTCCGGCCTTACCGAGTCCGTATGCTCTGATGGGGCTCACCCGGAAGGAACTGACTGGGATTTTCTCGTCTCATAGGCAGATGCACCGCATACTCGGATGAGACGAGTTGAACTTTCAGTACGTTGGGGGTTTTACTTGTTGCGCAACATTCCGACTGAGCCTGAAAATGCCCTTGACATGTTGTGAACCTGGAATGTTATTGATTGTGTTTCAGCAAAGAAAAAGAAAACGCGCTGAAAAGAGCGAAGGCGAGGACGGGACAGCCAATAATGAGAACGCTGAGGAACGAAAAGGCAGATTCAGGGATACAGCGAGTGCCAGACACCCCCCGTGCGTACTCATACACTCATTGTCGAATGTTCAGAACGTTCAAACCAAGCCATGTAGCGGCGCCGCTGGACCCTCCCACCCCGCTAGTGGATCTCCGGCAACCTCTCTGCGTGAGCTGCTCGCAGAACTCAAGAGCTTCGACGTCGAGAAGGACGCGGCCATACTCGAGCAGGCCGGCTTCGAGTCCGCCGCGGAGCTGGGTCTGATGGCCACAGGCTTGACTGAGCAGCAGAAGATGGCCGTACTGTCGGGGGCGGTGGGGAACCAAGAAGGAGAGAAGAAACAGGTCATGAAGCCGTGGAAGCTCGCGCGCCTCAGTCTGGCCATCAGCGAGATGACGAAACTGGTTTCGGTTGATGATTGATACGGATAGAGAGATGTTGTGACGACGAGGGAATGCGAACAGTGTGGGAAGAAGATCCTCAAAATTCTCGGCGAGTAGAAAATTAGTTCAATGGAGAGGATCCGATGCGTTTCAGTTTCCACCTATCGTGCATGATGTAACGTATTCTTCTCTTTAACTGGATGCATCGGGCCGTTTATTTCGAAGCACGAGTCTATTTCCCACAGCTTCAAAACGCTCTAGGAGCTCTATAAAGTAAAATGGCGCGGTTTGTGACCTTATCAGAAAGCTAGATTACAGTATCTGTTCAGCGGAGGTCAGTAGCATTCTGGTCGAAATGAGTGGTGTAGGGGATAGTGAGTTTGATTTCAAGGATAGATCTTTGCCCCAAGTGCTCAATTCGGCCGGATTCAAGAGGAGAGCTGCATATGGCCGAGCAGAATGAAAGATCCTTCATGAAAGTGGAAATTGGAAAGAACACCCTTGGGTCAAGATCGTCTACGAAATTTCATTGCTTGATGGTATTTTACAGAGAGACAGTAAATTAGAAAAGCTTGCCGCGAATCGTGCAAGTCGAGGGTATATCTGCGGCGAGTTCGAATCGTGGCGGCTGCCTTTGAAAGAAGAGATCGCAGCTCAGGTTAGGGTTGGTCGTCCCTGATCACCCACTGTTTCCACTTTCTGACTTCATTCTGAGCACTCAGCTCTTCGAGTACAACCCGACAAGAGGAGAGGAAACGAGTTCCAATAAGCTCAAGCGTCGCAGCTGTCGCTGCCTCAACACATCTTCCTCCTATCTGGTCGCAAACTGGCTGATTCACAATCCGTGGTACAGGTACATGTATATGTATATGACAAAGGAAGACGAGGGACACGGACTAGGGGTCTGCATCTGCGCCTTGGCGCGGCTGAGGTCGTCTGCGTCTGCGCACAACGCTGAACACTAGAAGGACGGGGACAGCCACCCATCCATTATTCCTCGTCGTCATCCCAGCGCAGCACGTACTCGGCGACGCGGACGGCGATGGGCACCTCACCCATCCAGGACTCGGTGTCGTCGTCGTGTCCTACCGCATATACGGACCGCTTCTCATCAGCGCGAAACATGGCGAAGCCACCGCAGACTCCTTCTCCGGCCGCGGTATATGAGCGTGCCCCGACGTTTCCGACTTCGAAGCTGCATGGCGACCATGCTTCCGCATCCAATGCTTTGATCCCGCTGCCTTGCTCGTTTCGCCTCTCTGCGCCGACGCGGTCGGTGCCGATATCCTCCGCGGGACCCTGCGTCCAGCCGATGCGGCAGCTCCAATCGTCTCCTGCCCCCATGAGAGTCGATTCCTCCCGGCTTTCCATGGTTTGGATATTGCTCTTGGTCAGGGCTGCACCGCCCGACCTTGCGAGAACGCCCGTCGCATCTTCTACGACTTGGCTCCCGCCACCTTCGTTCCGTCCCTCCGCAAGCGATCGCGTTTTCGCTTCCTCGATCGTAGAAGCACTCTCATCTTCCTGTACCGAAATGGAGGTGGGCAGATGAGCGTTGAGCGCAGCCAGGATGTCATCCGAG